CTCTCTCTCTCTCTCTCTATTTCTCTCTTTCTCCCTTTCATCCCGATTCTCTGTCGTGCTCTCTCCTCGTCCAGTTCTCTCCATCCATTCCTTGTTCGTCAGATATCTTTCTCTCTCTTTCTAATTTTTCCTTTCGCTTCTCTTTTCCCTTCGCACAGCGAGAAAGAGAAAGAAAATGAAATGAGAACCGGTACATCGGGTCGGAATCGAGAGGAACGGGCTTACTCACGAAGCGAAGAAGACAAGGAGAAGAGATCGACCAAGAGGATGGCGAGGAAATTCCGGTAAATCGGGACCTGAGACGCAGTCCACCACTGTAGTCGGAAAATCGGTTTTATAATAATATATAATATTAATATTTACGGTTATATACGTATATACGGTTATATAATATTAAGAATAAACTAATGATTAACCTTCATGTTTGATTATATCCATTCAAAAAATTAGTGGAAGATTAATTTTTATTCTTTATAAAATAAATTAATTATTTCTCTCATAATTGATAAGCACTTTTTAAATGCTGAGATATAAGAAAATCCAATAAAATATGAAAAATACAAAAAGACAAGGGACGTGAAATATACCGCACACTTAGAAAAATCCTGTTTGGATAGATTAATTGGAATTCTAATTGAAAATGAACGGATCAAAATTTTTTCTGGTTAAATTTACTAAAATTCGAAATTCTGATTAAAAGAATCTTTTCGTCCATTCCAATCATTCATTTTCAATCACAGTTTTCTCAGTGCAGCGTTAAAGATTCTGTAGACGTTGACTCGATTCCCTTAGAATCTTTAGATAGACGACGTTGCAGTTGCTAGTCAAATCAAAAGGGTATTAAGACGAATGTACTCGCTCGCGAAACGGAGTACCTCACGAGCGATCGAGCGGAGAAGATCGATGCCCGGACTCGAATGTAACGACTGAATCCTCACAATTCCCAATGCGAAACTCAGGGAGCACGATGCTGAAACGAGCGGAGTACACTTCCTGATCTATACAAGGCCTCGAGGTCATTGCCATTACGGGTTAAGGCGCTTGTCGAAATTATCCCGAGGCTGCATTTAGCGTGACTTCTGCATCCTAGACTTGTCTGTCGTAGCGTATCGATGTTCGTCCAATGTTGCGAAGAATTTGTTACTCACGGCATTACACGTTGTTAAATTCATTATGTCAAAAAATCAAATTATATCATTAATATAGATTATTTATCGATTTTAATAACCACAGAAATAGATTGATTTACATTTTGATATACATGAGAGAGATTACACGAAAAAGATGATTTTGTTGAAGTATCAAAAAATTTAGATACATATTTGAAAATAATTTTGTTGGACTACAAAAATAATTGTATAGGTACAGGATATTCAAATTGATTGTCAAATCTTCTTGCAGCATTACTCATCATACTTGAGATTCATATGTATTATTTTTAAATGTGAATCTTGATAAATTTTTTAACACTTCAGCAAAATCTTTCTTTTCATGTAAAAATAACAAAATGTTATTTAACTCCAGGGAGTCATTGCTCTTTTGATGTTTATATCTTGGCGACGCCAAGAAATTAAAATTAAAAAAGTTCACTTTTTCTCTGATCTGATCCAATTCCAAACTGTGCTTGTAAATGTGAGTAAACGGCCTCGATACCGTTCTGTTACCATTCGGAGTGTATCGTGGCGTTAACTTCAACATTAAATGTGGGGTGTGGAATACCAGTCCGAGTCTGCAGCTATCAACAATTACCAGTGGTTTCTCAAGACCGACGATAAAACATCCACCTTATGACGTTTATGGCGACCCATAAATCTCCAGCGAAATGTATATATATATATATATATAAAATGCAACTCGTCGATTACTTCATCATCCGATACATTGTTCTGGTCTGTATGCAGATAAGCGAGATAAACACGGCGTAAATGGCGAAGGTGCGCGTTGCCGAGCCGTGGTGTTAGCCGAAAGGAAAGGAAAGGAAAAACCTGAAAAAAGGACTCGAGAGCAGGGAGCGGTCGGTCGTAAGTAGGTCGGCTAAGCCGCGTCGTTTCGTTCGATCGAACAGATATTACAACGGCAACGAAGGCGTAAAGCCTGGACGATGCTGACGATGCATCGTCCATGCCAGCAAGAGAACTCGCAACAGGATCTCTCCGCCTGAACCCGGTCGCGACCCAGGCTGCTTTATGCCTGGCAGGTTTTCTCGAATCTCGCGCTTCGATCTCGAGACGTTCCTCTTATAAATATCGTGATTTATTTTTCTTTTCTCATTAAGCTTGCAGAAGAAATACTACAACACTACTAATGTTCACATCCGCGTTCTATAAAATTTTCCTAAAAATTTCTCCTAGTTTCTTCACGATCTCTTTTTAATTTTCTGAATCTTTTGTCCTTTCTATCATAAATTTTTCTAAATTCGATAAACGTTGCATCAATATTATCATGTCGTCTT